AGCAAACTCCAGGAGGCAGTGGAGGACAGGAAGGCCTGGTGCGATATGGTTCATGGGTCATGAAGAGTTGGACATGACTTGACTATAAATAGAGTTCCCCAGACACCTTGAGAGGTTCTCTCCCTTTAGAGATGACCTGCTTTCTTCCTAGTAGAGCATCACTCTCAGATGGAACCTGGGTGAGACAAAGATGCCACTGATTGTGCCACTATTGGCATCCTATAGGAGAATATTACCTGCATCACAGAGGCCAAGCCTGCCCTGCACAACTTTGTGTCAAACACACAGCCCTGCCGAGTGGACAATGAATGAAAGAGCCAATGCACAGAACAAGAACTGTTGGGAGTGCCAATGGCTGGTCTGCTGCTGTGTGGTTTGACATGTTCAGTGGTGTGGCATAGTGCCATAAAGTCATAGTTGAAAGGGGCCAAGTAAGTGCTCACATCCAATCCTGTTTCATTCTAGCTTTCTCTTCAACACCTCCACTTTTTTGTCACTTATTTGTCAAAGTCTACAGAGGTGCCAATGTTAACTAAACAGGGTTTGCAACCAGTTTCAAACCAGCACATAACCCAAGATGGACAAGTTTCTGTACCCGGGACTGCATCTTTGTCTCTAAGCAGGATGCTGGAATTCTATCTCAAAGGAGGACAGGGCCACACAACATTGCAAAAATATAGCTAATATGAATATGCCCAGGTGTTTGCTTCCCTTTTGATTCATTAAACATTACAATTTAGCAGCAAATTTTGGTAGGACTTTGGGGGCTGCCTAACACACACTTTTTTTAATAAGCTTTTTTAATGTCCATAATCAAGGTTCAAAAAGACATGCAAGGCAAAGCAGAATATGAACCTGAACTCTTTTATTGCATCTATGAGGTCATGATGCATCTGGTTGTCCTCCAGATGTGTGAATATCAATTCCCAGAATTCCCCAGGCAGCACAACCATTGTCAAGAATTCCAGGAGTTGAACCCCACATTTCAGCTCTGTGTTTTCCAATGGCAAGCTTCAGGAGAATCCTTACTTTAAGGCCCCCTGACATCCACTCATACCAATGGCAGGCAACCTTCTGATGACCAAGGGACACACATCACATTTTTGGAAAGGTCAAAAGCCATCAAGCAAGTAAGGCCACATCACACATATGGGCAGGGCTGAATCTGGGGAAAGTTTGAGGGAGATGATATTACTATTACTACTACTTTCAATGACACTGGGCTTTTAAAACTTGGATGTACCAAATTGGGGAAGTAACCACTTCCATCTGCTTCTTGCCTTGATATGGGCAGAAACCGGGCTGTCGGTTTTCTTCAGGCCTAGCCTGAGAGGACACCAAGGGACACCAAAGGGGGCTGGAGCTGCCCATCACTTAGCCTGGACTTCCAGAGATACCCCCCTGGACACAACTTTCAAAGACTCTCACCGAGTCCCCCCCAAAGCAAGCAGCTGGAAAGACGCCTTGGCATTGGTACCACCCCGACTCCCTCGCCCTCCCATCTGCCAGTTCTTTCTGGGGTTCCATACACTGAAAGAGACATCAGAAAACAGAGTTCTTGTTTTAATATTGCCCGTTCTTCTTTAACACTGCATCCCATCGGGAAGCCACAGCCACCATCAGCATTTCTTACAACTTTGGATGCCTTTGCTCTGAGTTAATTACTTCCAGAATTCACACTGGGCCCCCTGCCCATCCCCACCCCCCCCAAAGCCACTGAGTAGCTTTGTCTTACAGAAAGACATGTGTCCCAACCCTTCCCCCCCCCCCACTGCAGCCCTTCCAAAAAAACGTTGTTCCCAATTTATTTGCGTTTTTCAATGTATTTCTTCCCCTCCAGAAAATTCTGTTTCTTCTTAGTGCCTCTGCCAAGCACGGAGTTGACATGACAGTGCAGAATCCTTGATGGTAGCTGTGGCACGGGTGGAGGGGAGGAAGAAAAACACTTCGATTCCTTCGGTCAGCAAAACGTGTATGTGCTTGGGGAGAGGAAGGCATTGAGTGGCTTCAGAAGACGGGGGAGGGAGTGTAAAGAAGACAACTTGGCAGAATCCATGCAAGTGAAAAATTTCACTCCCACTGCTAAAAAAAAAAAAAGAAGAAGAAGAAATAAAGTCTCTAGCCCTCATGGTTGCAAAGCTGAATATAAATGCAGGTGGGAATTGGCTGGAGCTGAGAGAGGGGAGCTGTACGTTTCTCAGGTAGGAGAAGGGTTAGCAAAGATGAAAGATGACTTCTTTCCCCTCAGCGACTCTAGAAGCGGAATACAAATTATACAAAACTGGGCAGCTCTATTTAATTTGCAAAGCTGACAGAGATGGCAAAACTACCTCTTCCTTTGTTCAGACCTATAAAATGCACATCGGCTGTCGAACAAGAGAATCCTGGGAACTGTAATTTCTAGAGAAGGTGAGGTTCTCAGCTAGGGAGCTCAAACTTTCCCCAAATTATAGTTCTGAGTGTGCCTAAAGCCACTTAAATCTACAGTGTACGGTCACGCTCCAGGAGAACCCAAAACTTGGCAGGACTTTAAAAACAGAGAGCCCTGCCACAGAAAGAGGTTCTTAAAGTGCAGTGCTAGGAACCCACGGGAAACTAAGGGGGCCACACCATAATCATACAGAGTGGGCAGCCATCCCCTCAAAAGCCAGCCACGTAATTTGGGAAAGCAAGGGCAGAAGAAAAGGATCAGGTGAGACATACTGAGGTCCCTTCTTTCACGAGCTTCTGGTATCACTTCTAAAAGTTTGGCAACGCCCAGCCTGTGAAAGATGAGGCATTCTTACCAATGGTGCAAAAATAAAATATGGAGGAGAGGATGCTGGAACCGTAAGCCCTGTGGGATCTCTGGAAAAAGGGGAAAGAGCAGGTGTGGGGAGTGGTGGAGCAGTCTGATTCGTGACACCATCCCTCCTTTCGTCCACCGTCTACTCCTCACAACCCAGAAGTTCTACCCGCAACGTGATGCGGTTGTGCCAAGCCTCAGGTAAGATGCGGACAAAGCGCGCGTAGAATGGCACGTCAAACGTGTTCTTCTTGTGTGAGTAGTTGTCATGGTTGCCTTGGAATACCTGCATGGGAAGGGGAAGGAGGAGAAAAGAAGTGGGGTAATTTTTAAGGAGTTAGCAAAGGTCTGCCAATCAGGGCTTCTAGAAATCTACGAGGTCAAATCTTGTCCATTTTCAAATTCCATCTTTCTTTTGCTGGATTCTCTAGCCTGCCACCCAAAGTTGATCCCATTCTCTTCAGGTTTTGGAGTGTTAGGCTGACCTGCTTGACACAGATGAGTTCCAATGTTGCGTTGGATTTTGAAAGAATAAAAAGGGAAGTTGGGCAGTTTTGGGCTTCAGGGTTTAGTGACCGTGGGCTAGACAACAGATTGGCTGATGTTTCACCAGCAACTGTGGCTGGCATCTTCAGAAACAAGGTGGTCTGCTAGGCAGGCCACAGTCAACTGAGCAGCCTACACCAGTAAAAAGGGAAGTGTTAATAAAAGTCAAGTCTCTTTCAAATTACACTTAAATCCAGATGGCTGTGTTGCTTTCTTGGGAACACTGTAGAGGTAGTTTGTTATTGGCTTCTTCCAGGATGTCTTTTAAACTTGCCCATCTAGTTTACAGCCCTTGGATTTCCTGTTAGTCTACTTTCCTAATACTAAGCAGATCGGACCCTGCTTAGCTTTTTTGAGATTAAGTGCTGCCACCTGGTGTGACAATAAAGACATTGGCACTCTGATGCTAAAGGGAAGAACAGATCCATGGAGAATTACATTTTGTCATTTATTTTATTTTTTCACAAGGAAAATTTATAAGCTAGCCAAATTTGGGCAGAAGAAAAATTCCAAAATACATATTATGCAATAATTGAAAAGTCATAAAAACTCTTCATCAGACAAGATGTGAAGAAAAAGAGAGAGGGAGGAAGAAACTAAGGATTGGAAAAAGGAGACTCGGTAAAATATCTAAGAGGGAGGAAGGATAATAAGATTGTGATTATCTGTTGAAAAGAAGGTCGGAAGTCATGATATTTCATAACTTTCTTTCTTGTCTCTCTCTCTCTCTTTTTAGTTTTGTCATTTACTCTATGTAAAATTCTTAATAAACATACATTAAAAAAAGAAAGGAGGAGGAAACTCAGAAGTGAGTGTTCCCTGCTGGAGCTCCCTCCCTGTAGAATGACACTCCCCCGCTCAAGAAATAAGATCACCATCATTATTATTTTGAAAGTTGCTGAAAACTTGGCTGTCATAAGCAGACATTTGGGGATTGAGAGGTTGATGATGTTACTACTTGGAACATGGGTGGACACTGTTGATGGTTCGGTTATTCTGAACTTAGGGAGTCCTTGGGGTTCTCTGAGCTTGGTTGTTTTCTTGCAAACATTTCATTACCCGGCTAGGTAACAACTTCGGTGCTAGAATGGGATGGGGTTTGCTCTCTATTTATATATTGTGGCATGCCCTGCCAGTGTTGGCGGGGGTGTGGGTTTTGTTTTATTTTTTCCTCTGGTAGTTCCTTGATTAAGGTATTGTTTACTGCTTGCATGTCTGGTGGTAACCTTGGTGTTAATCTCTGCTTATCTGGGTGATGATTGCTGGTCAGGAGATGTTCTGGTCTTTTGTCTTCCTTTGTTTGGTCTCTTTTGAATAGTGTGTAGATGTTGTTTATCTCTATGTGGCTGTTGATGGCTGCCTTGTCTGAATACCAAGCTTCCAAGAATTCCCTTGCATTTTTGGATTCCCACTTGAAACTATGGTTAAGTCTGTCCCTGTGTTGTGAGATTTTCCCCACAACAACAACCCTGGCACTGGCTGAGAGGCACCCAGCCGCCTTTGATGCCTAAGGCGGGACTATAACTCACCATCTCCTGGTTTCTAGCCTTGTGCCTTCACCATTAGACCAAACTGGCTTTAGTTTATTGCTCTTGCAAGTGGCTTAGATTTGTCTTGACTGCCGTAGCATAAAACACTTGTATAGAAATAAAAGAAGAGGTGCTGTTGCAAAATTTGCTGCTACATTTGTTTCTTCTTGTAGTTTGTGTGTTTTTGAGTGAGTGAAAGAAATGTTCGAGTGGATTGTGGGCTTGTGACTGCATATGGTCTACAGTGCAATTCTGTTGACCTAGCAAGGTAGTCCAGACGGGAAGCACACCCAGAAGTACTAGCATTAACTTTATTGCAAGGTTACATTAACAGAATTTTGCAAGTCTGAAAGTTCATCTCTCCCCTCTCACCTTCACAGTCCAAGAAACTAGGGAGGGTCCCTCCTGAGCCTCTTGCTCTGCCCACTACGCAGCTATGGGCTAAGCTGCCTCTTTATCTGACCATCCCCTTGGCTGCGGCTCTTCCTCCTGTCTCCCAAGGCCATTCCCACCTACCATTACAAATTCTCACAGGTAGAATCAAGTCTTGTGTTCCCTTAGCACAATGCTGAGGTGCAAGACTTTCATTCACATGCTGTGAAAAACTGTACTGTTCAATTTTCTCTCTGATGATCTGCACCCTTTCACAGGGGAATAAAATTTTGGAGAAACTAGAGGACACATTTCAGCACAGCATTAATGATAAGGCTGAACAGTCTAACTCCTAACAAGAACTCCATCACATGTAGGAATGTGCTGTTGGGGAGAGTTGGACTATTAATGGATTAACAATATCCTTGTATTATTATAGCTTTGATTAGGTATCAGTTGTTTTCATTTGTTTATATTTACTCAGGACATTATAACTCTAATAGAAGTTTTTGTCAATTGTTTTGTAAACTGCCATGAGCCTGTATTGAATGAATGAATGAATGAATGAATGAATGAATGAATGAATGAATAGGAAGGAAGGAAGGAAGGAAGGAAGGAAGGAAGGAAGGAAGGAGAGAGAGAGAGAGAGAGAG